GGTTGGGGCATTTGAAGAGGTAAAAGCCCAAGGCTTGCGTTCAGGATTATAGATGTTTTTATTAATCTTCTATTTATACCTCAAAAATGCTGTGAGTCTAATGATTTTCAGGCAGCTTCCCTTGAAATTCATCTGTTTATCTCATTATGAATTAGTTCATCCAGGACACCTGGTAAGACCTTCAGCAGACATGCCTGGAGTCCAGTGACACCAGTTTAACATCACTAATATTTAACAGAATCACTAATAATAGTTAATAGAAGATAATATTTTTAATAAATACTGTATAAACTTTTTGAATGGCTGTGGCTCGAGGTCTAGGGGAGAATATCTGAAGCCTGACGGGTTGGTTGGTTTGCTTTTCTTTTGTGAGGGGTTTGGGTTTTGTGGGTGTGTATTGATTGAAGTGAAAGATACTTGAGAGCACAGAGGTTTTTCTTGCATCAGTGTCCTGGGTAGATCCTGGGGAATATAGTTCTGGAATAGTTCATACTTTTGGCCATTTCTACTTCTATTTGATCGCTTGTATTTAAAGATCTCAGAGATTTTTTTTTTCTTACCACCTGAAATATCTCCCTGTTTGAAGTAATTAAAGTTATATACATTTTTGAGAGGCAGTGATTAATTTTCTTTACCAGAGGAACATATGGTGGGCAAGTCAGAGGAAGCCTAATTGTAGTGGGGATGCCTGGGGAAATAGTTCTCTTTGGACTTTGTTCCTTCAGCTATAAAATAAAACCTATTCTCCGTTGCTGAACATTGAGGATTCATTTGTTATTTGAGATACCCAGAAGTGACTTTTCTGAGGTAGAAACCAGTGGCCCATAAAAACAACTTACCAGAGTGATGCAGGAGAGCCAGATGTTGCATTCTTTCTGCAAGTGTTTTAAGGAAACAACGGGCAAACGAGTAATATGGAGCAGCGGGAATTAGAATTGGCATTCCAGGAGGTGCTCAAGGTCTGTCCTCACGCAGTCCTCTTCCGAATGAATAAGTGTGGGAGAGTGCAAAGTCCTGCATCTCTCTGATAACAAAGGTGTCAGCAAGTGCTTCACCCAGCTGCCTTCTGCACAGCCTTTGTTAGGCTGGAGCTAAAGCCCCTCTCTTCTGCTCTATGACAAGCTGAGGTTGGACCTGACCAGCAGTGTGGGACCCATCACCACGTTAACGGTGATCAGCCTGGGCAAGGCTCGCAGAAGGAGCAGGAGCAGTTGAAAAGGAATAATTCCAGGCAGGGAACTGAAGCTGGTTGAACTCCCTGCCTAGGTCCCGTGTCTTAATCCAAGACCAAACTTAACCTGGAGCACCTTTCCTATGAGGACAGGCTGAAAGAGTTGGGGCTGATCAGCCTGGAGAAGAGGAGGCTCCGGGGTGACCTTATAGCGGTCTTCCAGTACCTCAAGGGGGCCTACAAGAAAGATGGGGAGAGGCTGTTCAGGAGGGCCAGTTGTGATAGGACAAGGGGTAATGGTTTTAAAATAGAGGGAGGTAGATTCAGATTGGATATTAGGAAAAAATTTTTTACCATGAGAGTTGTAGAACACTGGAACAGGTTGCCCAGAGAGGTGGTGGATGCTCCATCCCTGGAGACGTTCAAGGCCAGGTTGGACGAGGCCCTGAGCAACCTGATCTAGTTGGAGATATCCCTGTTCCTTGCAGGGGGGTTGGACTAGATGACCTTTGAAGGTCCCTTCCAGCCCTAACCATTCTATGATTCTATGATTCTATTTGATGCTGCTGTCTTCCAGCAGAATTTCATTAGCCACTTAAGCTAACGAAATTCTTGCAAGAAGGACAAAGATGTCTGTATGGAAGCTGCAGACTGTTGTGAAACTACATATTGGTGTGGATTATTTGGGGATCATCTGGTCGCCTTGCCTGTGCTTCGTGGGGTAGCTTCACTGTCAGGGTGGTAGAGGGAAGGGGAAAAATCAGCGTGCAGCTGCCAGCGCTGCAGTGCCGACAGCTTCTGGGCAGGGGCATCTGTTCTGGATAGCAGCATCTTGGGATCTTGTTGGGGACAGGTCTATGAAACATGGGAGAGAAAAATTTTCTTTTTTCCTCCATAAGCTATTTTGTACTTCAGTGCTGAAGGATCACTCGGCTTTGTTCTTGGAAATGGGGTGAATTCGATGTCAGATTAATTGGTATTAATCAGCTTGGCCCCCGTGGCCTTTTCCGGACTTCCCCCTGTACTTTGCAAGAAAAAACAATGTGATGGAGAGGTTTGAATCTTTCTCTCTGATACCAAAGCAGACCACAC